GAAATTCAGAAACAAATGAGAAAGAAAGTAATTGAGATCTATCAGTCTGGAAAAGGTTATAAAGCCATTTCTAAAGCTTTGGGAGTCCAGCGAACCAGAGTGAGAGCCATTATTCACAAATGACAAAAACATGGAACAGCGGAGAACCTTCCCAGGAGTGGCCGGCCGACCAAAATTACCGGGTTCTGCAGCAGGACAATGATCCAAAACACACCAGCAAGTCCCCCTCTGAATGGCTGAAGAAAAACAAAATGAAGACTTTGGAGTGGCCTAGTCAAAGTCCTGACCTGAATCCTATTGAGATGCTGTGGCATGACCTTAAAGAGGTGGTTCATGCTCGAAAACCCTCCAATGTGGCTGAATTACAACAATTCTGCATAGATGAGTGGACCAAAATTCCTCCACAGCGCTGTAACAGACTCATTGCAAGTTATCGCAAACGCTTGATTGCAGTTGTTGCTACTAAGGGTGGCCCAACCAGTTATTAGGTTTAGGGGCAAACACGTTTTCACACAGGGTCATGTAGTTTTGGATTTTGTTTTCCCTTAATAATAAAAACCTTCATTTAAAAACTGCATGTTGTGTTCACTTGTGTTATCTTTGACTAATATTTAAATTTGTTTGATGATCTGAAACATTAAAGTGTGACAAACATGCAAAAAAATAAGAAATCAGGAAGGGGGCCAACACTTTTTCCCACCACTGTATATGTGTATATATATATATATATGTATGTATATATATTAACCCTTGTATGGTGTTCGGGTCTGTGGGACCCATTTTCACTTTCTGTCAAAAGAAAAATTATACGATTAATAATTTTTTTCAGACTCCTTAATCTTGGTTCATTTTCTGTGAAGAATATTTATCAGAACAAATTTTCAATGACCACACACTGTACACCCCCCTACACATTTATATTACATACAGGATGTTCAGGTCTACTGGACCTGGGGCTAATAAAAGTGTGGAAATTTTAGGTCCTGTGTACCTTCACTCTGTCCTCCTATTGTCTGAGCCTGCTATTAGTATGTGTATATGTGTGTATGTGCATGTGTGTGTGAGAGAGAATCTGTGTGGGTGTAAGTGTGAGTTTTGTGTTTCTGCAACTAATCTATAATCCTTATGTATAGATCAGTTCCCATTCCCGCAAAGGTTGTAGCACTTTAATTAATAAATGTGATCTAACAAAGGGAAAGGCCAAATATTAACCATATATGCTGTTTATATTGCTTGTAATTGGGAAGAAGTAAACATCTGTTGAGTATTTTAACATAAAATTTCTAATTGTGTTGAATTAAAAACCCCCAAAACTGCAGCGGGTCCACCAGACCCACGAACACTGGCTGAATAACACAAATATGAACACCACACAAGGGTCCATTTAGAATTAGAATATTACTTTAATTAAAAAAAAAATCATACTGACTTCAAACTTCTTATTCAGGCAGCTTGAAATAAACCCGGTGATTGGTAATGGTAGTTTACTGTGCTATTTGTAAACATGGCAAAAACTGTTGCTCATGAGATGAGTCATCCATTAATCAGATCCAACCGTGTAACAGAAATAGAGCTTTGCCCTTCTCGTTGCCCTTTGGTATCTCAATAGCACACAGCAGGACAGCTGGTTAACACCATCGTTGTTCTACATTCATTTTGGTTTTGATCTCCTGCCTGCATGGGGAAATATGACACAGATTTAAGTGGGTAGTCATGTCTTACCAGCTGAAGTGAGGAGGACATGATAGTCTGTGCCTCTCTGTGCAGGAACATCTTCATGAATTTCTTCTTTCTCGGATTCCTTATAACGGTCCCAGTTGGACTCAAGCTTTCGCCTAGAGAAGGTGTTGTCCTCCTCCTCTTGCTCAAAGTTTTCTTTGTCATTGTCATCTTGATTCTGGAAAGCGATCAGAAAAAAAGATGGCAGTGAGCAAGCATGACACAATACAATTGTTTTACTGTGACAGTTTATTAGAAACATGAAAACCTTAGAGAAAAAAAAAAACACACCAGCCACCAACACAATATTGTACAATAATGTTACGTTACGTTAATACCATAAATCGATTATTTATAAAATTAAACTCATTAAAGGGTCATGAAACCCCGTTTCAGCACTGGTTAGTTCTCACCACAGTTTTGAAAAAAAGCTTTACTGGCTGAATAACACAAATATGAACACCACACAAGGGTCCATTTAGAATTAGAATATTACTTTAATTAAAAAAAAAATCATACTGACTTCAAACTTCTTATTCAGGCAGCTTGAAATAAACCCGGTGATTGGTAATGGTAGTTTACTGTGCTATTTGTAAACATGGCAAAAACTGTTGCTCATGAGATGAGTCATCCATTAATCAGATCCAACCGTGTAACAGAAATAGAGCTTTGCCCTTCTCGTTGCCCTTTGGTATCTCAATAGCACACAGCAGGACAGCTGGTTAACACCATCGTTGTTCTACATTCATTTTGGTTTTGATCTCCTGCCTGCATGGGGAAATATGACACAGATTTAAGTGGGTAGTCATGTCTTACCAGCTGAAGTGAGGAGGACATGATAGTCTGTGCCTCTCTGTGCAGGAACATCTTCATGAATTTCTTCTTTCTCGGATTCCTTATAACGGTCCCAGTTGGACTCAAGCTTTCGCCTAGAGAAGGTGTTGTCCTCCTCCTCTTGCTCAAAGTTTTCTTTGTCATTGTCATCTTGATTCTGGAAAGCGATCAGAAAAAAAGATGGCAGTGAGCAAGCATGACACAATACAATTGTTTTACTGTGACAGTTTATTAGAAACATGAAAACCTTAGAGAAAAAAAAAAACACACCAGCCACCAACACAATATTGTACAATAATGTTACGTTACGTTAATACCATAAATCGATTATTTATAAAATTAAACTCATTAAAGGGTCATGAAACCCCGTTTCAGCACTGGTTAGTTCTCACCACAGTTTTGAAAAAAAGCTTTAAAAAGTGGGCGTGGTGCGCAGCGGAGCGGAGGAGGGGGAAGAGGAGGGACAGACAACACACACAGCTTCACGTTCAGACAGTTTAATTTCTCTCCCATCGAGTTAAAAACACAAATATATACACAGCCATTTGCACTCTGCATCGAAAACATATAACGTTATATGAATGCGCTGTTGCACCTCTGAGAACTTTTAAGGCTTATTCTGTGGCGTTTATATAAGCCTTTTATAGAGCTGTAAAAACGGTTATGCTCACCAAGTGAATGAATCGCGTTTGTGCCGAACTCTTACTACAAAGCAAAAACAAACACTCTTCTTCGATCCATGAACGTTTCTCTCAGTTAATGTGCGTGATGTCATCTCACAGTCTGAAACGTCTGTCATAGCAAATCAACAAATGCTGTTGTGAATAATTAAGCGAAGCGTCTTCTCATAGTATAAGAACACGCAGTCTCATGAATAATTTAATAGACACAGACGAGTCATCGATGTACTATAGTCCATTGCAGAGCCATAGAAAGAGTTGGCTAATTTCTGCAAATAGTGCCGATGATATTGAATTAGTGAAAATTGAAACTTCAGTATTAACAGATCATAAGGCTATAATGATTAAACTCAACAAAGATGCTGAAAATCCGGCTGGTCCTAAAACAAACTATCTGAAATTAAATAAAACCTTGTTAGAGAATGAAGGGTTTAAAAATAAAGCCATTGAAATTATAGAAAAAATATTGGAAACGGGCATGTATTCTTAATAAATTTGGTCAAAATTGGGAATGAATGAAATTCGAAATAAGAAGCATAGCTATAGGTATAGGGAAAAAAATGGCTAAAGTAAAAAAAGAGAAAGAAATCAAATTATTTGAAGAAATAATGAAATTATCCTGTAAACGAATTTTAACAAATGAAGAGCTCAAACAACTGGCGTCCTTGCAGTTACAATTAGATACAATTTATTTAGACAAAGCTAAAAGTGCCTTTATAAGAAGTAGACAGAAATGGATTGAACAAGGTGAGAAAATTTTGGAAAAACGTAATAATGAATTATCATCTATACATAACCTTCTGATTAATAATAGAGTATGTGAAAACAATAAAGATATTGCTGAATATGTCACCCAGTTTTAGGAGAATCTATACACTTCAGACCCTTACAATGACAGAGAAACAGATTTGTTTTTAAGTAAAATTTCTGACACAACAAAAAAAATAAATGATGAATTTAAATTATTTTGTGACAAAGAAATTAGTCTAGAAGAGATTAAAAAGTGTATTGTGGGCTTGAAGGATAATAAGTCTCCAGGAAACGATGGGCTTACTAGTGAATTTTATAAGATGTTCAATGTCCAGTTATCTCCTTTTTTAGTAGCCATGTTTAAAGAATCAATTGCATGCGGGAAATTACCTGCAACTCTCAAACAAGGTCTTATTACAATAATTCCTAAGCCTAATAAGGATAAACTTTATATTGATAACTGGAGACCAATTACCCTTCTGAACAATGATGCTAAACTTCTTGCTCTAGTTTTTGCAAGAAGACTAAAGAAAGGTTTGGAAGAGATAATTGAGGAAGAACAATCAGGGTTTATGAGTGGGAGACATATTAGTAATAATATTAGGTTAATCTTAGATATGATTGATTACAATCATTACATACCGAATAATTCTTTTATCTTATTCATAGACTTTTACAAAGCATTTGATACTGTAAGTCATGAGTTTATGTTTCGATGTATTGAACATTTTGATTTTGGAGAATACTTTCAAAAAGCTGTTAGAACTATTTACAATGGATGTAATAGTTCAGTCAAATTATCAGTGGGTACAAGTGGTAGATTTGAGATTAATCGAGTATACAGCAGGGTAGCCCTTTGTCTCAATTTTTGTTTTTATTAGTTACACAAATGATGGCCCTATATATAAAAAAAAGCAGGGTTTGAAGGTATAAGAGTATTTGGAAGAGTATTTAAATTATCTCAATTGGCTGACGATGAACAAAACTAAAACAAGATTTAATATCTGGCTTCAAAGAGATTTATCCCTGAATGGTAGGGTTTTACTATCAAAAGCAGAGGGGATATCAAGATCCGTCTATGTGTCGTTAGCTTTAGATATGCCATCTAATGTGTACAAAGAATTAGACAAAATGTTATTTAATTTTGTATGGAGGAATAGACATCACTATTTGAGAAAGGACATTTTATGTAAACCATAGGGTAAAGGTGGTTTATCTGTGCTTAGTTTTAAAACTTTAAACAATACATTGAAGGTTAATTGGTTAATTAACTTCATGAAAGAAAAGGACAGCATGTGGTATACATTTCCAAAACACTTGTTTGACATGATGGGTGGCATAGATCTCTTCTGTTGAGATGTGATTTTAAAATTGACTACCTGTGAAATTAGCTAAATTTCACAAACAAGCTTTATTGGCCTGGATGCTGGTGTTTAAGCACAATTTTTCCCCAAATAAAATTGAAATACATTGAGTTGGAGAGACAGAACTGTGATTTTTGGTAATTAGAAGACAATATCATAATTTATTTACATTATTTATTAAACAATGTATACATGTATACGTAGCATATGTAGTTATATCAGTGTTGTTTTTAAAAGATAAAATACACTAATATTTGAGGATTAATGTAGTCAGCTATCCTTACCTGCCTTGTTAACATATTTTAGGCTGAAGTTACCATGGTAAATGTCCGTGTTTGCTATATAAACGACATTGTGGTCTTCTACCAACACTATATATGTTAAAGACAGCATGTTTCTAGGAAGCATTGATATTCTTACACAAAGTTGTACTAATAAATATACTAGGAATATTATAACAGGAAGTTCAATCACATCTTAATGTTCATTGTCGTTTTACTAATCTCATTGTAAATGTTTAGTTTGTTGTCTTAGAAAATTCATTCCAAATAAATGAAGATATTTTATTAAGTGAAAACTAATCTTGTTTAATGTTTTTGATTCTTGTGCACCCCTCAATTATTAATATATAAAAATATATTTGTAGTATATTCCAATTTAAAACAACTTTTAAAAAATTACACATTTAATCATATATTTTATGTAGGTTGACTTTTGTTATGCACTTATTTACAGCAATCGATTTATACCTTTATAATAAACTATAAAGCATGTTGTCCTTGAACAGTCTCCACTATAGTTTGCTGTGCTGCATGGGAGTGCTCCAGTCACTCACAGAAAGGAGTGTGAATGTATGGTTTCCCTACTGATCTGGAGAGGAGGAAAAATGATGCATTCATTTTTTTCTTCAATTCACATTTATTTGTATATCACTTTTTAATATACACATTGTTTCAAAGCAGCTTTACAGAAAGTGAATGTTTCTACATTACAAATAAGAGTTCTGTTAACAGGTGTAACTGTGCCAAAGTAATGTTCATATGGCAGAAATGTTCTAAAATTAGGCTATACAAATCATGCAGTTAAGTAACTTCATGTATTCAGAAACAATGAAATATATACAGAAACAATGAACAACTTAAAGCAATGGTTACATGATGTGATCATGTT